ACATGTCCACCGCATACAAAATTCCTTACAACCGAGTATTGACTGTGGCTCATATGAACTATAGTCCAGACTCTTAGTATCCCCCTTCATAACCCCCATAATTCTCCCCTATATAATCCCCTACAAAACCCCTTTAAGGAGTTGAGCCTATGGCTCATATTGCCAGCAGTTCTACTGAAACCGTAACCGTCAGCCCAGCGGCTCGCTATGACCAGCGCCAAAGTATGGATCCGACTCCTTGCGCTGGGCCTGACAGCCCCAAGGGTCCATATAGCTGTATGATATATACTTGGGCCTTAAGTTAGGTACATGGGAACCCCTTTGAGCCCTAAAGCATGCACCACATACCTACATGGAACCTTTGGGAAGAGGATTCAGTCAAGGGCGGCTTTACATGCGGCTTGGGGTCTGCGGTGAAGATGCACAATGGTGATACAGAGAGGAATGGGGGGGAAATGGCTGACAAATCGTTGTGAGGCCTAGCATGTACCTTAGGTGTTTGTTGCCCTGAGGTTCGGATAACAAAAGGTTCGTTATTCTGCGCACAATCATTAAGCACCCGCATGTATTGCCACAAAATGTTCCCTTCAGGCAAATTCAGCAGCTATGCCGCCTCAAGGTTTGAAAGGGATCAGTGGGCCCAGAACTTGACTAGCCAAGAATGCCCAGAACCTCCTATCTAGTTCCACATTTCCTTACCACCAACCCGTTTGACATGGAGGAACTAACTACATGGCCCAGCTCTCTCATATTATTTGCCCATAGCGCTGCAAGCATTGTATTGCAACCTAGCCTCGAAACAGCAGGCGGGTTCCGCTGACGGATGCTTTACACGTCAACGCTCGACACTGTGCTGGAAAACCCAAAGTCCAGGCCAGTGAACGCGATTCTGCACCAACAACAGCCCTATTTTGCTCAACACTTTTGACCTAAGTCAACTTTATGCGCCCTCGGCCTGTGAGAATGGTCGGAAGATGCCGGCCTGCAACCGCGATTACGATATCAGAGTTTTCTGTGGGGGGGGTGGGTTGCTTCGTCAAATCCCGAGCTGGCAATCCTACTTGTTTAGCTCGACAGTGTATGGCTTCTCCCATTTTGTGTGCATCCCCACTTGGCCCACATTTGTTGGCTTGTCTTCGGTGATTTGGGCGTCACCCCATGGCTAGATGATCCATGCACTGAAATGTATGAGACATGTTTCGAGGCTTGTGCCAATCCTCTCACCGCAATCCGAGACATAGACCACTCAATACCGGCTGCAGTGGTAGTCACAGCAGGTCGTGTAACATGATTCTACTGGGCTGCTGCTAAATCTAGTTGCCACAATATGGGTATATAGGGTATATGGTAAATAACAGGTTTTCCTTATTACAGCAGCTGAACTTAAGTTCCTCAACAGCAACCCAGTCTACAGCCGCCATGTCCCAAGCCCACGCTAATGTAACCCGGCCATGGAGTTCATCTCGCGTAACGTTCTGCCCACGAAGCGGTCGTAGACCTTCGCAGTCCACCAGTCCTGCCTGGGATCTCTTTCAAACTCATTCATAAGTGATTTCAAGAAGGGACAGCTTACATGAAGCGTATGCAAAAAGGTTATGGTGGGGTAGGGGGAGTCATGTGAAGCGTCTGTATGAGTCTGTAACGTCCATGACCTTGACAAAAACAAACAGTTTCGGAGTTTGTATGCTTGAAGTGCATAAGACAACTTTGGGCTCAACACCTGGCACAGCTGATGTGGCTCTAACTCCTGCTACCCAACACTAACATGATCGCTTGCTTTTATGACTGACTAGCTATGACTTCATGGCAACTGCCCGCTACGTACACTGAAACCTCAGCGAGGCTCAGGGTAGACATTCGATCGGGCAACAGTTGGAGTCCCTACTTGTGCCGCTGATGAGGGCTTTGAGACCGCAATTTTCCCGGGTTCTATGTTCCCTCTTAAAACCCCTTATCTGGCTGAATTATCGCTAGATAACCTTAGTTGGTGGGGGAACCGGGGGGCAGTGTAGAGGGGGTAGTAAGGGAACCCATGAAATGATAACTGCTGAACAGCGGGGACCATGGGCTGTAGAAATGTCCAGGAAGATCCCTTACACGGCTATGACCACGCATCACACGCCGGATTGCTCCCAACTCCCACATTCCTAGAGCTCTACAGAACGGTTCTGGTTTGCAGGGCCCCAGAATGATTAAAAAGCTCATGTACCATGTTTGCTTTCAT